ATTGATAGATTACTTTTTATTTTTAGACTAACCTTCCCTTCATAGTCACACTATCCCCTAGTGGGATTAATAAAGGCTTGTCCTATTTTATCTTCGATTCAAAAAAAAAAAAAAAAGTTCTTGTGGAATGAGTTTGGATGAGGGCTCGAAAAAAAGAAACTCTTCTCTCTGTATTCTGTTACATCTATGTAGGTACAGTTATTTGCTGGTGATGCTTCAGTTGTCTGAAACCTTACAAACCCTCACCATGCCATTACCACCATCTGAATGATCCACACACTTTCCTTACAAATTAGTAAATTCATTTATTATAGTGTGTGTTGTGTGCCACAGGCCAAGCTGACCTCCTCACTCTGCATTAAGTGCTATTGTTCCCTCATGAATGAACAGAGGGAAGCTCTTCACATTCCACAATCCTAACAGGTGCCACACCAGGCTGCACTGTGCAGGGAGCTGTTGGTTTAGACACAACAAGCACCAATTTCGGATTTGGGAAAAAATAAAATATATATTTGGCATCTTCATATTAAAAAAAACATTTCAATGTGTGCAACCAATTAGTGGAACCAAAGTGTGACCCACTCAGCTCTGTGCGTAAAGCATTCCCGGACCATCTATGGATCCTTTTTTTTTTTTTTTGCGTAATCCCCTCATGCCAGATTCTTAAGTTACCAGCGTGATTTCTGAACTCTCTGGCTTTCCTTCTCTTTGCCTTCAGCGGCTACGAGACCAAAGTGGTGAAACCTACCGCGAACAGCGCGCACAGGCGGCGGGGGCGGGGGTGCAAAGAAGGCGGACCCAATGCGACCCCCACAGTTGTGCCTCAGATGGTTTTACAATGCCGACCATTTCTCAAGCCACATTTCGCTGCGGCTGGGCTGGAGAGAGACGCTCCGAATGTGCGTAAAATAACCCTTCGAATGTAGATAGATCCTCTCATCTTCAGTGAGGAAAAAAAAGAAAAGAAAAGAAAAGAAAAGGAAAAGAAATAAAGGCGAAGGGAAACAGAGATATTGATCATCAAATTATTCCCACTCACCAGTGGAATTAACCTGAAAGCTTCGTGACAACAGCCTTGGTAAGACTGAACACATGTTTTATTTTTGAAGGGAAAAATGGACATGATGCTTGCAGATCTGATTCAGTTGTGATTGAAGTTGCGTTTTGAATTTAACTGGTTTCCCTGAAAGACTGGGGCTGGTGATGTTGTGTTTTAACCCATTATAGTGGGCTGTGATGTTCCAACCTCACAGGGAGAGGAGCTCAAGGGGGAAAAAAGGGTGAAAACACCTATTGTGTGTAAAGACTGCTCGATCTCAACATATTGGCACATGTGGCTCCCTCTCCGATCGGGGCTGATCAATACAATAGCGTGTTCTGTGCCCACGCAGCGAGCGCCAACTCCAGATGTCACGACCATGTGCCTGAAGGAGTAAGTGACAGACTGTTGTCCACCTATTGTCCGTCCGACACATGGTGCGTTCACAATCTTTCTCGCGTTAAATGAAAGTCGAAGCAGCCTTGCAACAGGTAACGCCAGGCTGGGTGCGTGTCCGCGCTACGTGACCAGTGACACGAGCAGACATGTGTATACTTCTGTGGGTTTCTCGTTGCGTGTGGGATCTCCAGCAGATGTTAACTAAATAGTTCCGTGAAACGCTTTTCCTGCAGCGTAATGTGTTGGTGGTTTCGGCCACATGGCACAGGGTACGCGCAAAGACGCTTCCCTTTAAAAAACCATCTCCGACCGAAAACAACGTTTTTCCACATGTTTTTTCCCCCAAGCTCTTGACATGGTGATAAAACATCCAGCGTGCGTCAAGACGCGAGCAATAAACACAACAAGCTCCAGCAGCCCTTTAACGCACTTTGCCTTTGTTGTTGTGGAGCTAAATATACCCATGAGGAGGAAGAGCGCCCTGTGTGGGAAGTTAATGGTGCACATTATCTCTGTGCGCCGCAGTCCATTACTGGCGATGCTGTGTTATCATCGTGTGACTGGCAATCATCGCTCTGGGTTGCAAACATGTAGATTTTCTCAGTGATTTTTGTGACCTGAGTGTTTTTGCTCTTTTCACTGAGGAGTGGATGTGTGCCAGTCTTGTCTAACTCGTGGTGTTAAGTGCTCAACGGTGCTGTGAAATATTAGATTTTACTGTAAGAGCAGAACCCATGGTTGACAGAAATTAATGTGTAATTACTCGTTAATTATTCAGAATTAATCAAAGGTCTTTGTGCTGCAAAAATGCCAAACATGAGCTGATTCTTGGTTCCAAATTGTGTGCATTTGCTGTTTTTTCCCCTCTTTTTTTGCTTTGCATGATAATAAACTAAATATATTTAGACCATTGCTTCTACAAAACAAACAACTGAAGAGTCCATCTTTAAAAAACTATATCAGCAAATATGTTTTATTGCAGCAGCGTCCATTTTTCCATTTCAGTTGCAGGTACAGCTGAGGTGTTGTGTGTTTTTTTTTCTAACTTCTGACCCTTCAGACATTGCTCCCTTAGATGGTACAAGAGGCTGCATTTTTTTCAACTTTTAAAAAGAAATCACCATTATTCATGTTATTTTGATTTAAACGCGTGTTGAAAGCTTGTTCAGATCTTCTAGTAAGTGGTTGGTGTAGAATTGTGACTATTCCACCGCAAGAACTGTTGAAAAGGTTTGAAAGAAGGCGCTACCGAACACCCAGTCAGTCGCTTAAATGCGTGAAAATCTACATGCGAAAAAACATGTAGCCAGACTGTTCAGAGAATGCCTGTCTGTGTATTCTAGGTTTTGTGGAAGTGGGTGTATGTTTTTGACTTTGGTCCCTATCTAAACATTAACACCCTATATGGGGTTTCATGCTGGGTTCATCTTGGTGGACAATGAGCAGATAAGCCCTACTGGCGGTCAGTGACCTCAGCTTGTACGGTGATCAAAGAGGTTTTGGAGCAGGAGCTGGACAGGTGCGCGGTGTGTGGACGCCGGTGTTTCTATCCGTGTGGGACGCAGCCAGCTGCACTCATCTGTCACACTCGAGAGACCTGTGAATATCTGAGTTTGAGTCGGCCCGAGTGTTGAGTGTCAGCCACTCCAGAGGTTATTATTATCTTTGTCATGGGGCTCATAATCGGTGTCCAGTCGGATCTTGTGCTGTTGTCTGTTTGTGTTGAAATCATTGCAAAGGCATCGTCGTTGGCTGACCAAAGCGTATACGTGTAGATATTTTCGCTCGTCATTTTAATGAGATACTACTAATTTCTGTCATCTCAGAGGCCCTTGATTTGTTCTAAAGTGCATCTTTAATGCTTTTATCCCATGAGTTTGTTCCCTCCGGGGCAATCTGTGCCAAGAAATGTGCTCACAAGTTAATATATGCTGCTTAAAATATTCCTCCATGAGCCATATGTTCTCGTATTTGGACGCTCACGGAACATAAATTACCATCCACTTGGCACGATGCTGAATCTGTAGCATATATTGAATGTCAGCAGCTAACTCTTATATAAGCTGATGTATCGGTCGGGCCGCTCCACCAGACTCCTCGTGACCTTTTAGCTGAAAGCACAAACTCAACTGAAGCTCAGAAACAATAAAATAAAAATATGTCAGACAGCGACTGGTGGAACTCGGTTATAGTTTCGGATCATTGTTTTATTTCCCAGCCTGCGACTTTACTGCATCATTTTTGGCATCAGTGGGGAAAAAAATAAAGACACTCAGACATCAGACGAAGTCAGTGAGTGGCTGGAGAACGTAGTGGAGCTGGCTGGAGTCAGATAATTCCCTCAGGAGACCAACTCGAAGCGATAAGCAGAGTGATTTATATGAGTCGGGATGAATGATAATGCTGTTCTGTGTCTGCTGGACAAAACCAACAGTCTGAGCAGTGACGAAGGACCAAAACACTTCGAATCAATGCAATAAAAGATGCTGTGAATCTTCACAGACTAAGGTGATGATTCAACAAGTGACCCCTTTCACAAGACGAACAGGCATCTGATCCGTTGTTAGTGTACAAATATTGATTATAGCCACTTTCCTCTCAGTAAATAACAGTTTAGCTGCTGTGTGTTACAAGCAGCCAACGATGCTTCATTAGTGATCATTTCGCTTTGTTGCGTTCACATCCAAAGTTTACTTTAACCAACAAGTGTTTAAGAAATTCACATTTTATAACAATCCAACATCTTTCTGGCAAAACATCTTCAAGCAAAATCAGCGACGCTCCAGCAGTTTCCTGTTTTTACCCAAACTGTACATCATTGATAGTGAAATTCTTGTCAAAGCTGAAACCTGAACACAGCGTTAATGATGCCCACTGTGGGTGGAGTGCAGCGCTTGCCAGTATTGTGAACACAAACTGTTCCCAAAGTCACACTTGACCACCATCAACACCTCGCAGACATGTTTCCTCTGTAAACAAGCGTACAGCGAGGTGCTGCAGAGACCAGCTGACAATAAACACGCAGGAACTAATAATACCACATCTGAAGCCTGACATAACATTTCTATGACACGATACCGTCACTATTCTACAAATGGAAGACCTTCACGTGTCTATCATCCATAAGTCTAAATTTAAATCTTTATATGTGGTGTTTTAAATCGTGTTGATGCTTCGTCACAGACACGTGTGAGCGCTGCCTGAAATGCCAGGGCTTTAATTGATCAGAGCCTCCTGCTGCCAGCTGCTGGTTACCGAGATATTTCTTAGAACAATGTCCTGCAGCGTATCAACAAGTGCTCATAATTAATGAGAGTTAAGTGATTCCTTACGTAACCAACAGGCCAGTGTTTTTAGAAAACAAGAACTGAATCAAACCTCATTCAGCTTGTAAACGATACCTCTGGGTGCTCTTTCCTTTTAGTTTATCGTCAAATAGAGGGATTAAGATGCTATTTCGTTAATTACCATTGTTAAACACTTTTATTAATGAGCCCCACTGGAGGTGCGTTTATCCACATTGTTTTTGGGCTGATGCCTGATTTTAAAGGAAATGAGGGAATATCTCAGCAGTGCTTCCATGTGTTGACACCAGACTTGGCGTATGGACTCGGGATGCCTGCCTCAAAATGTGCAAACGTTTTTGTGCCGTTTGACTAAAATGCAATAAACCAGGGGTCTCAAACTCAACTTACTTGGGAGCCGCTGGAGATAGTCTGGGTGAGGCTGGGCCGCATCAAGTATTCCACAAAAAAAGGGTTTAAAGTATTCCAGAAAAAACACAACTGATCCAATCTTCTCAATCTTTATTAGTAACAATTCAGAACATGAAAGGTTCTTCAAATATAGGCTTCTCTTACCTCCTCCTTGCTGCCAGAGACCTGGCAGTGCCTCAGAAAGCAATTGAGACCCTCAGTATGGCTTGAAGATGCTCATCAGTAAGTTCGGACCTGTACTTTGACTTATTACAGTTCATGGTGGAGAAGAGCTTTTCACACAGATAGAAAAAAAGCATAGAACGCATTTGCACTGGGTGACAGGATATATTTTCTCTGCACTCGGCGACACTCCCAAATCACGTTTCAAGTGACCACAAAATATCGTTCCGCAGTTCTCAATTCGCCCCCGGGCTGCAAGTTTGAGACCTCTGCAATAAACAAAAAACACAAAAATGATTGTTGTAATGAGACTTGACAACATGCGATGCCATTGTTTGCTATCAGCTTCACTTTCAACATGATCAGATAGAGGCCAAGACAACTGTGGCACCGTTTCTGAACTTGTTGGTCCCCTCAGTTAAACTTATTTTACTTCCTTATTATATTCTAACTATGACATTTTATCAGTAACCTTGATTATAGAGACAACAGACACCAGGAATCTGCACATTATGTATTATCAACCGCCTCAGTCATGTTTACTTGCTGTTTGGAAGCTACAGCTGAATCAGTTGGACAAATCACCTCCAACATCTCACAAAATGACACGATCCAGTCGACGTCACAGCGAGCTCACGAAGGTTCAAAAAGGAACATGGCAAGGTTCACAAAGTCAGGCTTTATGGCAGGGTCATTGCACTGCATCGTACAGATGTCCCTGTGTTTGTCTTCCTCCTGTATTCCAACAGTTCAGGATGTATC